TATATTTTTTTTTTACAGTTGAGAACCAATTAACTAGCTACTTTATCGGTTAGATAATAGTTTTTCAAACAAATGTGTGGTAGCTACATCAAGAAAGACGGCGCCGGTGCGTCTGAAGCGCACATAAAAGTCACGGGACGCCAAAGTGTGCTGCTTGTGTGTTAACAAACTAATGTCACGAGAGTATGTTTATTCGGTTATTAATAGCTAACTGAAAAATAACCGTGTATTACTAATTCACTTTAATTTAAAATCCGTGTTTCTCACGAGACGCGCCGCAGAGACTCTTAATTTGAAGCGAGTTCGCGCCGGAAGCGGCTGATCTGTAGCTCTGCTCTCCTCTTCCGGTAGCGTGCGCATCTCTTCAGCACATCCTACGGTCATCATGGTGAGCGGTGCGGTGTTGAAAGCATAGTTTAATGAGCTGAGCTGAGCTGAGCTGAGCTGGGCTGGGCTGGGCTGGGACGGGTGTCTGTGTGTGTCTCTGCCGCGGTGTTCGCGCTGTACTCGGGCGGGACGAGGCGTTGTGCGCTGCGCGTGAGAACAACGAGTGTCGGTCGCTCCGTCAGTGTGTCAGATATAGCCGTGATGAGATAACGCTAGTGTGTGTGTGTGTGTGAGTGTGTGTGAGTGTGTGTGAGTGTGTGTGTGTGTGTGTGTGTGTTCGAGCTGATAGAAGCGTGTTTGAAGCATACACACGAGTCTGTGACGCAGCGGCAGTTAAGCGGCTCGTGAGGAAGCTTCTAGAGCGTTCTGAGGGGGCGGAGTCACGGCACTCTTAATTTGAAGCGAGTTCGCGCCGGAAGCGGCTGATCTGTCGCTCTGCTCTCCTCTTCCGGTAGCGTGCGCATCTCTTCAGCACATCCTACGGTCATCATGGTGAGCGGTGCGGTGTTGAAAGCATAGTTTAATGAGCTGAGCTGAGCTGGGCTGGGACGGGTGTCTGTGTGTGTCTCTGCCGCGGTGTTCGCGCTGTACTCGGGCGGGACGAGGCGTTGTGCGCTGCGCGTGAGAACAACGAGTGTCGGTCGCTCCGTCAGTGTGTCAGATATAGCCGTGATGAGATAACGCTAGTGTGTGTGTGTGTGTGAGTGTGTGTGAGTGTGTGTGAGTGTGTGTGTGTGTGTGTGTGTGTTCGAGCTGATAGAAGCGTGTTTGAAGCATACACACGAGTCTGTGACGCAGCGGCAGTTAAGCGGCTCGTGAGGAAGCTTCTAGAGCGTTCTGAGGGGGCGGAGTCACGGCCGCTCATTTGCATACTCATTATACATTCAGTGGCTCTACTGTTATCATCATTACACGGAGAAGTATGCAGGCGATGGCAGCGCCAGGTTTAATATCAGGTTAATCACTAAAGTTGTTTGTACGCGGTAGTTACTCGGATGCTCTGATGTTGTCCCGAGTTCGAACCCGTCCCGATCCCGCCCGCGTCACTTCCTGTCAGCGCTACACTGCGCACATATATATATATATAATCAGCTATTATGATTGTGATATGAAAATGCCTAGCGTCAGTTTGAAAATATTATCAATGTTGTTTTAACTATTATGTGTGATGCTGCCTTGCAGTTATTTTGGATGGCGTAATAATTATGCATGTTTAATAATGTGTTATCATTCACTTTCAATATTAAGATGATGATTTATAATAATAATAATAAAATCCCAAGCAATCAGCGGCTCTAGAAAGCTTGGGTTGGGAACGACTTAATCATATCAATAAATAAATGATTCGTAGCTTCCTGATGCAGTATCCAGAAAGATCAATCACTTTAATTATTGGCGTTCTGTGGTGGTCTTTGAGGGGCGGACCGTAGTTTCATGAGTTAGATATGTGTATTAGTAGTGTGTATGTGGGATAGTAGCGCATGAGTGTGTGAGCGCTGTGTGTTGCTGCCGCAGGCGTCTCTCTCGATGACCCCCATGAGCATCTTCAGACACGGAGCGGACGAGGAGAAGGCGGAGACGGCACGCCTGGTGAGTGACCCGAGCACTCGCTCGCACACCTGAGCATTCATAACCTCCTCCTCCGTCTGACCGAGAGTCTCTCTCTGTGTGTGTGTGTGTGTGTCGCAGTCGTCCTTCATCGGAGCCATCGCCATCGGGGATCTGGTCAAGAGCACCCTGGGGCCCAAGGGCATGGTACGTCTCGCTCGCACGCACCGCACACACGCGCTCCTGACCTCTGACCCCTGACCTCTGACCTCACAGGACAAGATCCTGCTGGGCGGCGGCCGGGACAGCAGCGTGACCGTCACCAACGACGGAGCCACCATCCTGAAGGCCATCGGCGTCGACAACCCCGCCGCCAAAGTGCTCGTGGGTCAGTCCAGACAGACGCCGCGCTTCCTTCGGGAGGCAGATGCGTCACAGTTTCCACACAACAATCATTTATAACGCATTCTAACACGTATTCACACAGATAACAGCTGATTTACGTTGCAATAGTAGAGTTTTCAGCAGCTTTTCGAGACTTGTCTAAGAGTGCGAGTCCTTCACGAGCCTCTCTTGTCTGCAGACATGTCTAAGGTGCAGGATGACGAGGTGGGCGACGGGACGACGTCTGTGACGGTGCTGGCGGCGGAGCTGCTGCGGGTACGAGCTGTTTCTCCTCCTCGCTGCGTCTGAGTGAGGAGTGAGCCGTGTCTAATGTGTGACGCTTGTGCCGCAGGAAGCAGAGCTGCTGATCGCCAAGAAGATCCATCCTCAGATCATCATCTCCGGCTGGAGGAAGGCCACGCAGGCGGCGCGCGAGGCGCTCAGAGAGGCGGCGGTGGATAATGGGTAACGTGCTGTGTGTGTGTATGTGTGAGAGAGAGTCTGTGTGTGAGAGAGTAAGTGTGTGTGAGAGAGAGAGAGAGAGAGAGAGAGATAACGCTAGTGTGTGTGTGGGTGTGAGTGTGTGTGAGTGTGTGTGAGTGTGTGTGTGTGTGTGTGTGTGTTCGAGCTGATAGAAGCGTGTTTGAAGCATACACACGAGTCTGTGACGCAGCGGCAGTTAAGCGGCTCGTGAGGAAGCTTCTAGAGCGTTCTGAGGGGGCGGAGTCACGGCCGCTCATTTGCATACTCATTATACATTCAGTGGCTCTACTGTTATCATCATTACACGGAGAAGTATGCAGGCGATGGCAGCGCCATGTTTAATATCAGGTTAAACACTAAAGTCGTGTTTACGCGGTAGTTACTCGGATGCTCTGATGTTGTCCCGAGTTCGAACCCGTCCCGATCCCGCCCGCGTCACTTCCTGTCAGCGCTACACTGCGCATATATATATATATAATCAGCTATTATGATTGTGATATGAAAATGCCTAGCGTCAGTTTGAAAATATTATCAATGTTGTTTTAACTATTATGTGTGATGCTGCCTTGCAGTTATTTTGGATGGCGTAATAATTATGCATGTTTAATAATGTGTTATCATTCACTTTCAATATTAAGATGATGATTTATAATAATAATAATAATAAAATCCCAAGCAATCAGCGGCTCTAGAAAGCTTGGGTTGGGAACGACTTAATCATATCAATAAATAAATGATTCGTAGCTTCCTGATGCAGTATCCAGAAAGATCAATCACTTTAATTATTGGCGTTCTGTGGTGTTCTTTGAGGGGCGGACCGTAGTTTCATGAGTTAGATATGTGTATTAGTAGTGTGTATGTGGGATAGTAGCGCATGAGTGTGTGAGCGCTGTGTGTTGCTGCCGCAGGCGTCTCTCTCGATGACCCCCATGAGCATCTTCAGACACGGAGCGGACGAGGAGAAGGCGGAGACGGCGCGCCTGGTGAGTGACCCGAGCACTCGCTCGCACACCTGAGCATTCATAACCTCCTCCTCCGTCTGACCGAGAGTCTCTCTCTGTGTGTGTGTGTGTGTGTCGCAGTCGTCCTTCATCGGAGCCATCGCCATCGGGGATCTGGTCAAGAGCACCCTGGGGCCCAAGGGCATGGTACGTCTCGCTCGCACGCACCGCACACACGCGCTCCTGACCTCTGACCCCTGACCTCTGACCTCACAGGACAAGATCCTGCTGGGCGGCGGCCGGGACAGCAGCCCACGCTCTCCTCCAAGCTGCTGACGCACCACAAGGAACACTTCTCCAAGCTGGCCATGGAGGCCGTGCTCAGACTCAAGGGATCTGGCAACCTGGAGGCCATCCACGTCATCAAGAAGCTGGGAGGCAGCCTGACCGACTCCTACCTGGACGAAGGTCTGCAGCGCACGCACACGCTCAACATCAAACAGCATTTCGTTGCGTTTCACTTTCAAACACGCAGCGCAGACTCGATAAGGGTGTTCAGTTTCAGTTCGTTTGCCAAAGCAATGGTGCCAAACACAGCGCTGAAGATGTTTTAATATATCTTCTGTTTATTATGAAACTGACTGAACAGATTAGACGGTCTGCTTATGAATGGGAAACATTGGTATGTCCATAATTATAATTTTATTAAATATTAAAAAAACATTTATTACTTGTTAAAGTGAGCATTAGATCATAGAAAGGGTATTTTAAAAATGAGCATTCACAAATAAATATACTGGATATTTAATTTTGATAATGCAATGGATTAATATTTGCATAACATTATTATTAGTGGTATCATATTAATAATACCAGAAATATAATAATAGTCATAGTATTTATTAGCTTATTAGTATTTAGTAGTTCCGTTATTATTCTATTGAAATAATATATCGTTTTAGTGGGGTTTTTATTATTGTTTATTTAGACAAAATAGTAAATAAAAGCTGTAAAACAATGATGATCTGATCAGCATTGGCCAGAATTGTAATATTTTGAATGGTGTGTATTATGATTTTTAATAAGGGTGTTTTAATCTTCCTGTAGTTATAGTGCATAAATCATATCTCTTCTCTGAGTATTAGTGTACTGAGTAACATATACTAACTAAGGATCTGCTTTTAGTTTGTTCTTATCTCAAGTAATGATAATGTTTGTGCAGCATTGAGGAAAGCGGCGTGTAGTTCTGCAGATTGATCTGTGATCGGTCAGTCAGTGCTGTCAGTGAGTTAATGCAGCCGGCTCTTCCTGCTCCTCACAGGCTTCCTGCTGGACAAGAGGATCGGCGTCAACCAGCCCAAGAGGATCGAGAACGCCAACATCCTCATCGCCAACACCGGCATGGACACGGACAAGATCAAGGTACGGCGTCTCCGGTCGCTCAGCCTGAGCGCAGGCGTGACGAGCGCCAGGAAGCTAACGCTAGCGTGTGTCTCCGCAGATCTTCGGCTCCAGAGTGCGTGTGGACTCCACCGCTAAAGTGGCCGAGATCGAGACGGCCGAGAAGGAGAAGATGAAGGAGAAGGTGGAGCGCATCCTCAAGCACGGCATCAACTGCTTCATCAACAGGTGCGCCGATCTCGGGTCATGCACGTGTGTGGTGTCACGTGACGCGTGCGTGTGCTGTCTCGTGAAGCTTGTGTGTGGTCATGTGACGAGTGTGTGAGATCGTGACGTGTGTGTGGTCATGTGACGCCTGTGTGAGCGTAGTTCTGTGGTTGTTCGTCCTCAGGCAGCTGATCTATAACTACCCAGAGCAGCTGTTTGCGTCCGCTGGGGTGATGGCCATCGAGCACGCTGATTTCATGGGAGTCGAGCGCTTGGCTCTCGTCACAGGTACACAAACACTGTCTAGTGCACACCATAAATAATGCTGTTTTAAATCAATTACTTTTAATATACAAATATGAAATGTTGTATAAAATAAAAGTGCAAAGCTAAGCTACTTTTAAATGTGAAAGTAAACCGCCAGTAGGTGGCAGCAAGTGTGTGCCTTAATGAGTGAGTCATTCATTCAAATGATTCGTTCAGACGGCTGATTCACTCAAGAATGAAGCGCGTGCCTGTCTTTATGAATGAGTCACTGAATCATGTGACTCAAATGATTAACACACGAATCATTCGGTTAGGAAACACCGCTGTGTGTCGCTCAGAGATGCGTGACTGTTCTGCTGTGATCTGGGTTTGGAACTATTTTAACCAAATCGAGCAAAAACAGTCAACGTTGACAGTATTGTGGAGCACTTAATATTAACTACTCGTGTGAGCTCTTGCATGAAGTCAGTGTCAAATTTACAATGGTGCTGGTTTTCAGGGAAACCACACTCTCCTGGTCACGTCACGTATGTTATAAATATAAGAGCTACATCTTTACCGCAGTGTGATTCTTCTGTGTGCGTTAGTTTTGATTTCTGCAGGAGATTCTCTCAACTCATTATCCACTAGCAATCGCTATTCACACCAAATGTAATAAAACCAGAATCATTCCTGCTGAACTTCCTGTGCTTCCCGAGTGTGATGTTTATTCAGGCAAGCAGAATTCTCTTTCTCTCGCTCCTTCAGAAGAATCCACTTGAAGAAGCTCACAAGATTGAGTTTCAAAGTGTTAAATACATGATGCAAGCGTGCACAGAGGAGTCATAAACATGCTCGTCGGTGTGCAGGAGTTGATTCTGCTGGTTTGTGTGCTCAGGCGGAGAGATCACCTCCACCTTTGACCACCCTGAGCTGGTGAAGCTCGGCCACTGTAAGCTGATCGAGGAGGTGATGATCGGAGAGGACATGCTCATACACTTCTCTGGCGTGGACATGGGTGAGTGTGCGCCCAAACCAACCCCACCTGTGTGGAGAGCGGCACGATTTTGACGTCGCTCCTGTGAACCGCTGATGTGACTGTGTTGTGTGCAGGTGAGGCGTGCACCATCGTCCTGCGCGGGGCGACGCAGCAGATCCTGGACGAGGCCGAGCGCTCGCTGCATGACGCTCTGTGCGTGCTGGCGCAGACGGTCAAAGAGACGCGCACCGTGTTCGGCGGAGGTGAGGACGCCAGCGGCTGTCTGACTCGCTCTCTCTCAGTCTCTCCACTTCTCTGGCGTGGACCTGGGTGAGTGTGCGCCCAAACCAACCCCACCTGTGTGGAGAGTGGCACGATTTTGACGTCGCTCCTGTGAACCGCTGCTGTTACTGTGTGTGTGTGTGCAGGTGAGGCGTGCACCATCGTCCTGCGCGGGGCGACGCAGCAGATCCTGGACGAGGCCGAGCGCTCGCTGCATGACGCTCTGTGCGTGCTGGCGCAGACGGTCAAAGAGACGCGCACCGTGTTCGGCGGAGGTGAGGACGCCAGCGGCTGTCTGACTCGCTCTCTCTCAGTCTCTCACTCACACTCACTCACACACCTGTGTCTGTGTTTCAGGCTGCTCCGAGATGCTGATGGCTAAAGCCGTGTCTGATCTGGCCAACCGCACGCCAGGGAAAGAGGCCGTGGCCATGGAGTCCTTCGCTAAAGCCCTGATGATGGTACGTCACACCAGCAGCACAGACATTTCACTCCTCTATATAGATTTCCAGAGGCTTTAGGTATTTGCGCCGCAATTACATTATAATGCATAACTAATTGAAACGAATATCATCATTCATTCAGTTGATTAATTCAAACACATGAACGACTGCATCTGAACTCTCATACTCTCTGAAATAGGTATTTGTGTTGAAAAACGTTAAGACGCAGCCAGAGTTATTAGAGAGCGAGTCATTGAATCATTCACTCGACCAGTTCATTTGAAATGCAAGATTGATGTGGGAATGAATTAAGTGACGGTCGTTGACTTGTTCACAATGTGTCTTTATTCCGTAACACAGCAGCGCTTGGCTGCTTGGTTCTGCTGGTTCAGTGTAAGTGTTGAGTGACTGGTCATGTGGTTTATGTGCATTGCACGCTCTGTGTTGCAGCTGCCCACCATCATCGCTGATAATGCGGGGTACGACAGCGCAGAGCTGGTGTCTCAGCTGAGAGCCGCTCACCAGGACAACAAGAGCACCTTCGGCCTGGGTAAGACACACTCACATCAGTGAGTCACATCAGCCCTCAGAGTCTCTGACCTCTGACCCCTGTGCTTTCAGACATGACCCAGGGCGCGGTGGGAGACATGGCGGCTCTGGGCATCACCGAGAGCTTCCAGGTGAAGAGGCAGGTGCTGCTGAGCGCAGCCGAGGCGGCTGAGATGATCCTGCGCGTCGACAACATCATCAAAGCTGCTCCCAGGTGACGACGCTCGAGCTCTGGAGCCGCTTCATTCATCTCAGCGCTGTCTGGGACAAGCATCAGAGAGTTTGTGCTGTGTTTGTAACCTGTGTGTGTCGTGTGTTTCAGGAAGCGTGTGCCGGATCATCACCCCTGCTGAACACTCGGAGCGGCCCGTGTATTTATTGACAGGAAGTCGATGCTCTTTATTTTGTAGTTTGTGTGTAGTCGCACTTCCCAAGCATTGGTTGTCTGCATGTTACTGCTCTACTCCTTTTGTTTACTCAATAAAACCGTCACGAACATCTGAAGCCCGGTGTGTGTGTTTGCTTGCAACAGATCCGACAAACTCTCGTCACACCGTGAGCATCAGTGTAAGCAGAGGGTTCAGTAAAAATGATTTCCATACTATAGAAAAGCTTTTTCTTTTTTTTTGAATGAATCAAAGTGCGTGCATCTGTAATAAAACGTGCCTCACACAGCTCCGGGGGGTGAATAAAGGCCTCCTATACTGAATCCATGCGTTTTTGTAAGAAAAATATCCATATTTCAACCGTAATAAACACTTTTCCCTCACTTCCGGTACCTGTCATACGCGGAGGCCGTGCCGGCGGATGACGTGAGACGTCGGCGTTGTGTGATTAGTGACGAATGCAGAGAGAGAACAAAACAAGACGCCGGTCACGAATTAGAAGTACAAAACGAGGATTTGTAAAGAAGAATGTCGGAGGATTTCGATATAAGCCAAGAGGAGACTGGTTTTCCATACGTCCTGCGTCATCCGCCAGTCAGCGGAAGTGAGAGAAAAGTGTTTATTACGTTTGAAATATGGAAATTGAAAGGTTTGGCGGGGCAAGGACAATTTTTAATATAACTCCGACTGGATTCGTCTGAAAGAAGAAAGTCAAAGCAATGGTGCCAAACACAGCGCTGAAGATGTTTTAATATATCTTCTGTTTATTATGAAACTGACTGAACAGATTAGACGGTCTGCTTATGAATGGGAAACATTGGTATGTCCATAATTATAATTTTATTAAATATTAAAAAAACATTTATTACTTGTTAAAGTGAGCATTAGATCATAGAAAGGGTATTTTAAAAATGAGCATTCACAAATAAATATACTGGATATTTAATTTTGATAATGCAATGGATTAATATTTGCATAACATTATTATTAGTGGTATCATATTAATAATACCAGAAATATAATAATAGTCATAGTATTTATTAGCTTATTAGTATTTAGTAGTTCCGTTATTATTCTATTGAAATAATATATCGTTTTAGTGGGGTTTTTATTATTGTTTATTTAGACAAAATAGTAAATAAAAGCTGTAAAACAATGATGATCTGATCAGCATTGGCCAGAATTGTAATATTTTGAATGGTGTGTATTATGATTTTTAATAAGGGTGTTTTAATCTTCCTGTAGTTATAGTGCATAAATCATATCTCTTCTCTGAGTATTAGTGTACTGAGTAACATATACTAACTAAGGATCTGCTTTTAGTTTGTTCTTATCTCAAGTAATGATAATGTTTGTGCAGCATTGAGGAAAGCGGCGTGTAGTTCTGCAGATTGATCTGTGATCGGTCAGTCAGTGCTGTCAGTGAGTTAATGCAGCCGGCTCTTCCTGCTCCTCACAGGCTTCCTGCTGGACAAGAGGATCGGCGTCAACCAGCCCAAGAGGATCGAGAACGCCAACATCCTCATCGCCAACACCGGCATGGACACGGACAAGATCAAGGTACGGCGTCTCCGGTCACTCAGCCTGAGCGCAGGCGTGACGAGCGCCAGGAAGCTAACGCTAGCGTGTGTCTCCGCAGATCTTCGGCTCCAGAGTGCGTGTGGACTCCACCGCTAAAGTGGCCGAGATCGAGACGGCCGAGAAGGAGAAGATGAAGGAGAAGGTGGAGCGCATCCTCAAGCACGGCATCAACTGCTTCATCAACAGGTGCGCCGATCTCGGGTCATGCACGTGTGTGGTGTCACGTGACGCGTGCGTGTGCTGTCTCGTGAAGCTTGTGTGTGGTCATGTGACGAGTGTGTGAGATCGTGACGTGTGTGTGGTCATGTGACGCCTGTGTGAGCGTAGTTCTGTGGTTGTTCGTCCTCAGGCAGCTGATCTATAACTACCCAGAGCAGCTGTTTGCGTCCGCTGGGGTGATGGCCATCGAGCACGCTGATTTCATGGGAGTCGAGCGCTTGGCTCTCGTCACAGGTACACAAACACTGTCTAGTGCACACCATAAATAATGCTGTTTTAAATCAATTACTTTTAATATACAAATATGAAATGTTGTATAAAATAAAAGTGCAAAGCTAAGCTACTTTTAAATGTGAAAGTAAACCGCCAGTAGGTGGCAGCAAGTGTGTGCCTTAATGAGTGAGTCATTCATTCAAATGATTCGTTCAGACGGCTGATTCACTCAAGAATGAAGCGCGTGCCTGTCTTTATGAATGAGTCACTGAATCATGTGACTCAAATGATTAACACACGAATCATTCGGTTAGGAAACACCGCTGTGTGTCGCTCAGAGATGCGTGACTGTTCTGCTGTGATCTGGGTTTGGAACTATTTTAACCAAATCGAGCAAAAACAGTCAACGTTGACAGTATTGTGGAGCACTTAATATTAACTACTCGTGTGAGCTCTTGCATGAAGTCAGTGTCAAATTTACAATGGTGCTGGTTTTCAGGGAAACCACACTCTCCTGGTCACGTCACGTATGTTATAAATATAAGAGCTACATCTTTACCGCAGTGTGATTCTTCTGTGTGCGTTAGTTTTGATTTCTGCAGGAGATTCTCTCAACTCATTATCCACTAGCAATCGCTATTCACACCAAATGTAATAAAACCAGAATCATTCCTGCTGAACTTCCTGTGCTTCCCGAGTGTGATGTTTATTCAGGCAAGCAGAATTCTCTTTCTCTCGCTCCTTCAGAAGAATCCACTTGAAGAAGCTCACAAGATTGAGTTTCAAAGTGTTAAATACATGATGCAAGCGTGCACAGAGGAGTCATAAACATGCTCGTCGGTGTGCAGGAGTTGATTCTGCTGGTTTGTGTGCTCAGGCGGAGAGATCACCTCCACCTTTGACCACCCTGAGCTGGTGAAGCTCGGCCACTGTAAGCTGATCGAGGAGGTGATGATCGGAGAGGACATGCTCATACACTTCTCTGGCGTGGACATGGGTGAGTGTGCGCCCAAACCAACCCCACCTGTGTGGAGAGTGGCACGATTTTGACGTCGCTCCTGTGAACCGCTGCTGTTACTGTGTGTGTGTGTGCAGGTGAGGCGTGCACCATCGTCCTGCGCGGGGCGACGCAGCAGATCCTGGACGAGGCCGAGCGCTCGCTGCATGACGCTCTGTGCGTGCTGGCGCAGACGGTCAAAGAGACGCGCACCGTGTTCGGCGGAGGTGAGGACGCCAGCGGCTGTCTGACTCGCTCTCTCTCAGTCTCTCACTCACACTCACTCACACACCTGTGTCTGTGTTTCAGGCTGCTCCGAGATGCTGATGGCTAAAGCCGTGTCTGATCTGGCCAACCGCACGCCAGGGAAAGAGGCCGTGGCCATGGAGTCCTTCGCTAAAGCCCTGATGATGGTACGTCACACCAGCAGCACAGACATTTCACTCCTATATATAGATTTCCAGAGGCTTTAGGTATTTGCGCCGCAATTACATTATAATGCATAACTAATTGAAACGAATATCATCATTCATTCAGTTGATTAATTCAAACACATGAACGACTGCATCTGAACTCTCATACTCTCTGAAATAGGTACAGCCACAGCTATTAGAGAGCGAGTCATTGAATCATTCACTCGACCAGTTCATTCGAAATGCAAGATTGATGTGGGAATGAATTAAGTGACGGTCGTTGACTTGTTCACAATGTGTCTTTATTCCGTAACAAAGGAGCGTTTGGCTGCTTGGTTCTGCTTGTTCAGAGTAAGTGTCTGGTCATGTGGTTTATGTGCATTGCACGCTCTTTGTGTTGCAGCTGCCCACCATCATCGCTGATAATGCGGGGTACGACAGCGCAGAGCTGGTGTCTCAGCTGAGAGCCGCTCACCAGGACAACAAGAGCACCTTCGGCCTGGGTAAGACACACTCACATCAGTGAGTCACATCAGCCCTCAGAGTCTCTGACCTCTGACCCCTGTGCTTTCAGACATGACCCAGGGCGCGGTGGGAGACATGGCGGCTCTGGGCATCACCGAGAGCTTCCAGGTGAAGAGGCAGGTGCTGCTGAGCGCAGCCGAGGCGGCTGAGATGATCCTGCGCGTCGACAACATCATCAAAGCTGCTCCCAGGTGACGACGCTCGAGCTCTGGAGCCGCTTCATTCATCTCAGCGCTGTCTGGGACAAGCATCAGAGAGTTTGTGCTGCTTGTTCACAATGTGTCTTTATTCCGTAACAAAGGAGCGTTTGGCTGCTTGGTTCTGCTTGTTCAGAGTAAGTGTCTGGTCATGTGGTTTATGTGCATTGCACGCTCTGTGTTGCAGCTGCCCACCATCATCGCTGATAATGCGGGGTACGACAGCGCAGAGCTGGTGTCTCAGCTGAGAGCAGCAGCGTTTGGCTGCTTGGTTCTGCTGGTTCAGTGTAAGTGTTGAGTGACTGGTCATGTGGTTTATGTGCATTGCACGCTCTTTGTGTTGCAGCTGCCCACCATCATCGCTGATAATGCGGGGTACGACAGCGCAGAGCTGGTGTCTCAGCTGAGAGCCGCTCACCAGGACAACAAGAGCACCTTCGGCCTGGGTAAGACACACTCACATCAGTGAGTCACATCAGCCCTCAGAGTCTCTGACCTCTGACCCCTGTGCTTTCAGACATGACCCAGGGCGCGGTGGGAGACATGGCGGCTCTGGGCATCACCGAGAGCTTCCAGGTGAAGAGGCAGGTGCTGCTGAGCGCAGCCGAGGCGGCTGAGATGATCCTGCGCGTCGACAACATCATCAAAGCTGCTCCCAGGTGACGACGCTCGAGCTCTGGAGCCGCTTCATTCATCTCAGCGCTGTCTGGGACAAGCATCAGAGAGTTTGTGCTGTGTTTGTAACCTGTGTGTGTCGTGTGTTTCAGGAAGCGTGTGCCGGATCATCACCCCTGCTGAACACTCGGAGCGGCCCGTGTATTTATTGACAGGAAGTCGATGCTCTTTATTTTGTAGTTTGTGTGTAGTCGCACTTCCCAAGCATTGGTTGTCTGCATGTTACTGCTCTACTCCTTTTGTTTACTCAATAAAACCGTCACGAACATCTGAAGCCCGGTGTGTGTGTTTGCTTGCA